CTACCCTCGCAGCCGCGGCCCCGCTGCCGGCAGAGTCGTCACCCCCGCGAGCTTCTGGAGGAGGCCGGCGCTCGGCTCCGCGGCGTGCATGTTGAGGGCGCAGGGCCGGGGCGCGTCCTCGTCTCGGCTCCCCCGGGCTCGGGCGGGAGCCGCAGCGCCGCGTCCCCGGCTGCGAGAGGGCGCGATCGGGAAGCTGCAGCGCCGCCCGGCGGACCGGCCCCACGTGACCGGCGAAGGCGCCGCGTGTTCCCGGCACCGCCCCTGGGGCGGGGGCCGCCCGCGAGCGCCGGGTGCGGGGTTGAGGGGGCTGTCGGGTGCGGGGCGGCGACCTCCCCTGCTCTCCACCGGAGACCTAGGGAAGACTGTCCTGGAGGTGGAGTAGAAGCTCCCTGGGGCGGCTGCTGGAAACAAGCATTTTGTTCACCTGGCCTCACTCTTTGTCCCTTTGGCTTCTGAGGATTTCCTTTTCTTCCTCTGCTGGCTTCCCTTTCTCAGTCCTTGCTGACGCACGCTACATCTGTAACTTTAATGAACCTGGCACAATCCGGGGTCTGGTTTTCATTTTAAGAACTCAGCACCAGAGAGTGACTGAACAAAAGAAAATAGCTAGCAGCCATTCATTTTCTAAATATATATTGAGGCCTTATTTTCTGACAGGGAGCTCTGATGGTACAGTTTGAAGTGTCCCACATACTGCACATCTCAGGGTTCCAACCCACCAGATGCTGATGTGCAACCTCCTCCCAATACTGCAGCCTTGGAAACCTGATGGAGGGTTGACTGCTGTGAGTTTTTGGTATTTTGTGCCAGACCCACAGAGACACTCTCAGTTCCATTTTGAGATTTCGAGTAGCGTCCCCACTGGCTTGATGGGAGTGAGAGATTATCTGGATTTTCTTGTTTGTTCTCACAACCTCATGATCTAGGTACCATATACCAAATAGAACAGTACTGGTATGCTGTAAATTAATTTGTACAGGTAAAATTCACAGTCCAGTGCTCCACTCTGAAGTTAATATTTTCCTCAGTAAGTAAGAGTTCCCCTGAGATTACATCTATACTAAGTAAATAATTTCTTCAGAGTTTACAAGAACCTTGAAACCTATCAAGACTGTTAGTATTCCTTCCATTACTTATTGTGAATTGGTTAATATCACAAGAAAGACGTTCTTTTCGGGGACAGAAAACTGAATTTATTTTGTTAATTGCATCGTTTGTGGCTCTATGAACCCTTATCCCACCTACATTATGTTGTCATTTTTATACCTATGCTAGTTCAATTATATGAGCAGTAACAGTTTGTCTTTTTAACATCTCAAGCTGGACATATGCTCAGGAGATGGTAGCTAATACTGGGCAACACATCCTGGAAACCAAGGATGCTCCGTGGGTCACGTGGGTCATGGAGGCTCTGATACCACAAGCAAAATATTGTTAGGGTAACAGGGAGAGCTGATCTGCATTTACTCTGAAGGTTGTGGGAGATCAAATTGATCACAAACAAAGATGGTTGGACTCTTACAAGAAAAATGTCAAATTATCCTGTAGGCTCACATCTTTTTTCCCCATACTTGATGGAACAGGGAGCAAAGATTTTAAGTAAGTTCTCAAAGCATTCAGCAAAGTAAGGGATAGTCTGCTAACTCCTCAGATTATTCCCTGAATACACATCCCTGAAGATGTCCTTAAGCCTGTTCCACATCCTCCACTCATGCTTCAAGCTCCTTCTAGCACAGACATGAGCCTCAATCAAGCAAGGGAGAACAGAGACCTTACTTTAAGCAACCACACTTGAATCATAAATTGGTTTGTATTTTATATAAAAAGCACATACACAATTGTTTCTCTTTAGAAGCCATCAGAGAATTATACTTGCATTTTGTATATCCTTTGAAAACCACGCTTCCTTGGTTAGGGAGTAGTATCTAATCTGCTTTATGTGATAAAAAGGATAAGACTAGAGAACACTTTAAGGATTCTCTGCCTTTACATAACAGCTCCAAACCTGATGTGAATGAGTTTGCTTAGCAGAGACAACTCTTCTGAGCTCCCTAACCTTGCTACTTTGCTAAGTGTTGATGCAGTCTACATAGCAGGTGTGATAAATGGAAGTTTTATCCAAGATATCTTTGAAAGTACATAAAATTATGCATAGAATTGTAATTACCAAAAGATAAGTAGAAGTCTTAGCCATCTTGTATCTCCAACTATGACCTTGTTGTGATATAATCATTAAAAATATTATCAGTTAATGAGGTCGTATTGAAGGTGGCTTTTGATTTAATATGAGTAGTGTCTTTATTAAAGAGAAGAGACAAACAGGGAGGAATATAGAGAAAGTCTACTAAATAAAACAGGCAAACATTGGAGTGGTACATCTATAAGGCAAGAAATGACAAGTGTTATGGGTTGTTACCAGAAACCAGAAAGCATTGAAAAGATTTTCACTAAGAGCCCTCTGAAGGAATCAGTGTAACCAATACCCTGATTTCAGACTCCTAGTGTCTATGAGGCAAAAATCTTTTGTTTTTATAAGTTATACAGTTCATAGCACTTTGGTACAGCAGCCTCCAAAATGCATTGAATACACTACTGTTGTTTGTGTTAGTTGCTGTGAAGTCACTTGCAACCCTATCTACAATAGCCCTAAATCCTACTCTATCTTGAGCCAACTTCATTGTTTCTGACACACCTATCCCATTACTCCAGACACTGAGTCAATCTATCTCATCCAGGGTCTTCATCTCCTGTGCTGTCCCTCCACCCTTCCAAGCATGATGTCCCTCTCCAAGAACTACTCCCTCCTTGCAACATGCCCAAAGATGTCAGATGAAGCTTCAGAATCCTTACCTTCAAGGAGCAGACTAGTTTCACCCTCTCAAGGATGAACCTGTTTGTTCTCTTAGCAGTACATAGTATATTCAATACCCTCTCCAGCATCACAACTTAAAGGCACCAATTCTTCTCTCATCCTTAGTCATTGTCTAGCTCTCTGATGCATAGCAAGTCATTGTGAAGTTCATGGCCTGGCTCTGGCACACCTTAGTGTCCAGACTGATAGCGTTGCTCTTCAGTACACTGGAAGGGTCCATGACAGCAGATTTTCCCAATGCAATTCATAAAACCTAGGTATGTTTAAGAAAGCAAAACAAAACCCCAACACCAAAATCAAGACACACACATTGAAATATGTCCTTAAAATATGTGTTAAGTTGGCTAGGCCTTAATTCTCAGCCTCCTGGAGGTTATGTAATGATGTCATTTGGTAGAGATACAATGATGCAATCAACTCATATGATATAATCTGATATGATGGGGTCAGAGTAGGTGAAACATCTTTATTGTTTTTGTTATGTGCAGTTTAGCTACAACTCCTAGTGACCCTATGGACAATATATCTAAATTTTGCCCTATCTTGAGCCAACGCAATCATTTTTTTACACATCTGACTCCATTGTCACAGTTACTAAGTCAATTCATCTTATCCAGGATCCTCTTCTGCACTGAACCTCTACCATTCCAAGCATGATGTCCATCTCCAAGACCTAGCCCCTCCTGGCAACATGCCCAAAATAAATGAGACAGTGCAAACAAAGCAAAGGCCCCATGAGGATGGCCATATCTGACATTTATCAGCTTCATAAAGGGAAACTGTCCCAGTCAACAACACAAAGCCAATTCCCATGGGGTCAGACGTGTCCCTCATACTCTCAGACCTCTTTCCAGTCATCTTAATTACCGCTCTTACTACTTTACTAGGTCCAAAATCCAATACAATAGCTCACAGACTACACAAAACCATTTTAGGGAAGACAAAGGGTTATAATCTAGGTTAGTAGAAGACTACAATCAGGACAACTTCCAAAATATGTTCACAGGCACCTCAGCCTTGAGTCTGATGGCTTTAGGCAGGTATTACTAAATTCTTAGTCCTGTCAATATTGGCTCTCCCCTCTGCAAAATGTCCTCATACAAAATTGGGCAAAAGACTCTTATCTCTGGTCCAATGGTGTAGCAGTCCCAAGGTCACATCTCATTTTGGGTCTCTGGTTCTCCACTATGGCTGCTATGGCTGCTACTCTTGTGGGCCCTCCTAATCTGTCTGGAATCCAAAGGGCCAATCGCATTCTCTGGTTCTCTGCTGGTGGAAAGTCTTCCTTCTGTGGCTGGGTCCTTGCAACTTAATGCCAAGATTAGCCAATCTCCTTGTGGATTAATGAGATAGGCAATCCCCTTGTGGATAGGCTAATATGTCCTGCTCAGATATTCCTCAGTCCCATATGGCAAAGGCAAGCAATGGCTAGGAAAGCCATTTTGAATAAACCCTTTACTCTACATGGAGCCTCAAAATCCTTGCCTCTAAGGAGCAAACTGGTATCATCCTTTTCAGGAGAGACCTGTTTATTCTCTTGGCAGTCCATGGTATGTTCAATACTCTTCTCCAAAATCACAACTCAAAAGCATCAATTCTTTTGATGTCATCCTTACTCATTGCCCAACTCTCAGATGCATAGCAAACAATTGAAAAGACCATGGCCTAGACCAGGCGCACCTTAGTCTCTAGATTGACAT